GTTGTATAGCGAACCGTACTGTTTATATTACTCTTTGTACTGTAATTAGCAAAATAATGTAACGTTCGACACTCCGTGTTGTGTGTTACTCCTTCGCACATCTAAGATAATCGAGGAGATGCGTTACGTAATTTCGGAAGCTATGGAGCGTTGTATAAAGCATAAAAATAGCGTTACATAACTTATGAACGACTCCGAGTAAATTTTTGTTGAAATAACAATAAAAACGACCGGATATGGATTTATATAGGCCTATTAAGCTAAGCAATTCACAGCTTAGGGGGCCTCACATTAGGAGGGACCTCGTTCCATTCTAAAGACAGTTTATACATATTTCTCATTATTATTTGATAGAAGAGGAAAGGCTTCTCTCATGTTGTAACGCAGAAGTCTAAGAGATCCTGTTCAAGTTTTTAAGTTTTATAGCCAGTTACACTTAATAAATGCTCAAAATTCATTTTTTTTAACAACAATTATAACAAATCATCACAACAAATATACTTTAATTGGAGTATAGTTTATAAAATTGCCAAATAGTAACTATAAACATCATTAATAATGAAGAATTTATAAGCCTATTATTACTAAATTTATACTTAAAATTCGAGTTATGGACATGAAAATTTAAAGAGGAATTAATCGATTTTCTGAAGTACAATTAAATCGATTTCCTCGGTAAATTTAACGATTTAAAAATTATTTGTGTTAATAATAATACATTGAAATCGTAGGAGACGATAATTTACATGATGAGAAATAAAGATTTTTTTTGAAATTTATGTTAATTATTTGCATAAAATGTACTCACCTACAGACTTTTCTTCAATAAAAGTCATTATTGGTGCATTCCAAACGGGTCCTTTAAGGAATCCAACTAAGGATTCGAATACCCAGTCATACTCTTCGTCAGACATATTTGATGCTAGTAGAAGCGACGATAGGAATGCTATGCTGTGCTTGATATTGTATACATCACCGGGTCGCTATAGTAACGAAACTATAACAAATTATCCGTAACACAAACACTACTCAGTCACGTGGAGTAGCAATGTACAGAATCTATTGTTTTGGAGACAATCGAAATTATATGATGAAAGTGTTTACAGAGCCAATAAAGGCATACTTTATACTAATAATAATAATAATTCAATATTGTTAATTAGTAATTTAAAAGCAAATTTATAATTAAATATATATTCTTATATTTAAAAAAAAGCTTGTATGTATGTACTGTACAGTACAAAAACAATTGTAAGAAAAAAGTCATAAAATAATTTTTATAATTTAAATTAGGGAAATTTTATAATAATTTCTATAAAAAAATTAACATTAAAATTAATTTATTCACAAGTTTTATTGAATTTATATTTATAAAAATAGAAAATAATACATGTTTATTATTGATTACACAATAAATATAGACTAGTGACTCTACATTGATTATTATTTTGTTTTTCATAGATACATTTTAAGCATGGAAGATATTTAAATAAATTATTTTTTTTAATTAACAATTTATTATTAAGTTTATAAAATATAAAACAAGATAATGATTAAAATAGAGGGTTTGAATCTAAATTAGTTTAGAATCCCATTAGTTTAATTGCTTGTGTAAAAGATCCTTTTCTAAGTACTAGGATTATAACTGAGATGAGGTCAATAAAGGCTTCCTGGTTATGAAATATGAATCTTCAAGACTGATCCTATAAACAGAATCTATTGTTTTAGAGACAAACTGTATGATGGAGACATTACAGATGTAATAAAGGCACTAAATACTGTTAATTAGGTACTAATTTAATCAGTTTAAAAATTGTAGACCTATAAATTCCCACTTCTGTCCTTCTTTAGAACGAAGTTAAATAGATAAAATTCGAGACAAGATATGGAAAGATAGGAGCAGGAGGCCCCTATTAATTAGATAGGAACTTCCGGTATGGACAGAAAGTTACGTACGTTATTTTAATTCAAAAAGGTGTTAGATAGATAACTGGCATGACTCTATTGCTAACAGGAAAAGTATGATATACAGGGGACTTTTAAAAGTATTAATTTGTTTTTAGTGTTATTAAACTGGAATAAAATTAGCAACATGATTTTCTAGAATCTTGGATAAATTCCATAAAATTAAAAAAAAGTAAAGCATCCAGTCAGCATTATAATAATAATAACAATGAATGCGATTTTTTAAAGTGGATAAAATAGCAAAAAAAATCAATAAATATGAATATAGAAATAGCAATGTTATAAAATAATTTTGAAAATACGAGGACAGATTTCTCTCTCGCATACAACGTTTAAAATAAAGACATAGGCCTACACAGTGTATGGTCTCGAATTATTGATATATGAGTGACATCACGTTACGTCTCAACATATTCGTGATACGACGTCACGTATAAGTTAAGGTGTAACGTGGTTAATGAATAATTTTGCTGTTATTTGCGTAACTCGATAACAGGTGTATCCAGAATGGTCATTCTGCGATAACAGTTGTTATAACATAAATACCCGATTCAAATAAATGTGTAGAAACTATACAAACAATCCAGCAGAGAATTGCATAACTTTCCCGGCAGAAGCATTTAAAATTGCGTGTGGTGCCATCTGTTACGAGATTTTATTACAATAAAACTACATTATTAATTACGAGTAAAATTTCCATTAATAGAACTGATATACTGATTTTTCTACATGGATTCAATTAAAGTGTTAGACAAGTAAAGAAAACCCGGAAAACTCCACATGGCCAGCCTTTTAGTGGGATACGAACGCGCGACCAAATACCAGTGTTTAGTGGTTTTATCCACTCAAGTGGGATCAGACAGATTTTTACCGTTATAATGTTTTTTTTTTTTTTTAAATAGAAGTTATTGGAGTAATAAAAAAATTTCACTCGAAAATTCTGCCGCAAGAGCGAAATTTGGCACTGTCGCTTTAGTGAAGTGCACGTTTTCTAACATATTTTGGGTGTAAAAAGAAATAACAAATTTCGTTGATATTTGCCCAATAGTTCTTTCAACAGAGAGCTAGGTACACTTACTCTAATTATGATCACCCTGTGTATGTAGAGGGTATCTCAAGGATCAAGTGAGGCTCGTGTTACATACAATACACGAAATATGCAAATAGAATGAATAATTTAATTTGTGTCCAAATGCTTTTAAAGTCCTCACAGGCTAAATAGCCCTCTTAACAGAACCTGTATATGTGTAATAAATACAGTGGAAGTGGTATTACGATCACTTTGTGACTTGCAACTTTTGATAACAATAACCGGCTGTATACTTAAAATACAACATTACACATTTATATATGCTACATTTCTTATAAACAACTGTTAACTCAATAGATCACGAAATTAAACTTTAGAAATTACAGCTGTATAATGAACACAAATGATAACAATAACCGAAGGTTGATTATAACAGGCGGATTATTTTTTAACTAATTTTATTTAATTTTGGGAATGATTGATTTTGATGATGATAATAGCCTAGTGATAACATTATAAGTGATTATAAAAACCGAATTCCACTGTATTTATAAACTGGCAATAATTTTTAAATACAGTAATAAAACAAAATCCAAACATTATAGCAACAGCATTATACATATTTTATTGAAAATAAAATATCTACAGCATTACCTCTCAGCATTAACATGAGTTATTTAATTATAATATCCTTATAAAAATGCTCTAGTATTTAACAGCCATTAATTACTATATTTAAAATCTATAAAAGCAAACAATTTATTTATTTTTTTTAAACATTTTTTCTCTAATGTGCAAATTGTACCTACCTCTTCATTTATCCATATATTTATTTTAAAAATAAATTAAACAAACATGATTTTATACACAAATTAGTGCTCATTCTGATTGTTTATAATCAATTTGAAATATGTTTTCCATACAATATCATAAAGAAATATGAGAAATTGATGTTTGTAATAAAAAAATTAAATCTGTGCGCTTATTACATATTACATTATACAAAGTATTTACATATCTAAAGGTTAAAATAAAATACACACCGTAAACTATGTGAGTCATTTCACTTTTTCTGTGTTTCTATTCTCCACAAACTCTTTTTCTTTGAAAAAATAAACCTTTTACAGTTTATATTACACACATTTGAAGCTTAAACAAGCTAATTTATGATACTAAATGATCTGTTATAGGTGAAAATATTACAAGAAAATTACAGTGTAAGTCTCAATGGTCAACATGAGAATTTGCATGAAGTTTGCTGGTATTATTTGTTCAACAGTTTGGTTTAAGCAATGCAGACAAGGTACTGACTTTTATTTAAATACATTCAGGTCCATTAAAAACCAACAAAAACATTTAAATCCGAAAACATTTTGCGGCAATAAAATGCCAACTTGAGGTATAATTTTCTTGCTCTATCCTTCCAAAACACTTTCAATGTTGTGATCATTTAAACCATTAAAAAAAACCATTAAACAATTGTCATTTTATAAATATATACAGTATAACATTAATTACATTTGAGTGATTGTTCATTCAAATATTGTTTTGAAGATGCCAAGTGACAAATTAAGAATTTATAGGGAAATTATGATAAAATTCATTCATTCATTCATCATATTTACACTTTATAATGTAATATTATTTAAATTTTTCTTAAAATTCCTAATGTTTGATGAAAGATTAATAATAAAAAAAAATTTAGAAACTATAATTTTACATGTAGGTATTTCGACAAAATTCAGTGGACTTAAATTTTGATTTTAAACACGTAGAAACGCTTTTTTTTGCATTAAAATGCTACTTCAAATTGTCAATTTTTAAAAGTTTTTTTTTGCTTCTCCTGTAAACTTGCAANCATCAGGCTGTAATTTTTAATCATATTTTTAATTTATTTAATATAAAATATATGCTCTCGATTTTATTAGTCTCTTTACAACATACTTTTCCGGTTATCTATCTAACTCCGAACTTACAGCCATATATATATAAATTAAATTCGCACCTTCTCTAATAATTCTTTCTCTTTTTGAGCTTCTGCTTCGAGTCGCGCTTTTTCGGCCATCGTTGCTTGAATTGCCAATTCCAATTCCATATTTTCTCTTTCTTCGATTTCCTTTTCATTTTCCGCATCTCTTACAGTTTTCCTGCCATGGCCAATTTGTAAAATATATATATATATATATATACCCCAAAAAATATTTATTATATAATTTAATAATATAATCTTACTTAATGACTTCTCTCATGACGGCCTTTTCTTCATCAGATGGTTGATCCTCTGGTGGTAACAAAGATTCGGGTAGCAATCCATACTTCTGAGCCAAAACCTCTAAAGCTTGCAATTGCAATTCGATATTCTTTTTAGTCATCATTCTTTTGAATATTTCGTAATCGTTTGCTGCCCAAATTTGTTCGAACAGACTCTAAAAAATTAAGAAAAATTAATTCGATTATTGTATTTTCTATATATTTTCCACGATATTTTTGACGAGTCCTTTAACAATACAGGAAAACCTGCGTAATTCGGAATCTCACGGTACCTAATGTTTGTTTCCGGTTTTAACAGGTTTCCATTCTATTCGAATAAAACGGAAACTTGCCTAAACGGAAAAAATTCTTTGGTACGGAACGATTTTCTATGTTTAGATAAAACTATTCAAAATGGAAACCTGCCAAACCATTCAGTACTGTGCGATTCCGGCTTACACAGGTTTTACTGTATATTAGTATCCAAAACATCAATAATATCGTTAAACGCATTCTTGCCTATTATAATTCGACAATCGTCGTTTTATCATATAATTATTTGGCATTATCCCAATTTGGATTTGACATAAAAATATTCAATCAAACAGAGTAACATAATTAAAGTAATAAGTAACATTTTTATATATGAAGAAAGCTATAACTGTTCTCTGTTCCCCCTTAAAAAACGTACTAAAAAATTACTTACTGGAATTAATACTAAATTCAATAATTACCAATCCCAGCTAGAAAAGGTCAACAAAATCATTCGACTCGTGTACAAGATCCAGAGAAGCACTAAAACATAATGCCAACGTTCCATTTATATGATACGATTCAGTTAGAAGAATTCAATTGTCAATCGCAGAAACACTACAAAAGCACTTGTATCATACCGAACAGTTTTTGCATCCGAGACAAAACCCATACCTGGAGCCCGTTTCAACGTTAACTACAAATAAATTTCTACAGGTTCATTTTGGTGCCCAGAGATCGGGCACGTGCCCTCCTTCGTCCCCCCCCCTAATTACGCCGCTGCTATCATATTAAAGGCTGACACACTCCAGCCGCTGATGGCGTTAAAATAATATACACTATCATTTTTTGTGGGTTTATATTATTTTAATTAACCAATATATAGTCTCCTTATGAAGAAAACTCCACACGGCCGGGAGTTTTCTTCACAAGTGTTCAATTGTTTTAATCCACTCGGCCACTATTTAGATGCTTAGACATGTGAAGAAAACCCGGAAAACTCCAAGTGCTTAAGAAGTTCAAACGTAATATAATCAGCCCAATTCTTGATAAATTATTTTAAAAATTGCTTATAATTCAAACTGGTTAAATTATTATTGCAGTTACTTACCTGATGAAACTGCGAATGGATATTTTTATTTGATTTTCCACATGCATTATCGAATTGTTCGGCAGTTATGCCCAGGTCTTCCATGTGGCTACCCAACATGAAATCTACCTAAAATTTAATTTTTTTTAATGAATAAAAATTAATTTAACTTAAAAGTCTTCTATATTTTTTTGAAATAGAACAGAAGATTTATTATTTTTGACTCTGTGCTGCTGTAGACACTAAGAGGATAACTATCTTAATTAGAAGAATGAAATTTGAGGACATGATGCAAAGCAGGTTAAATAAAAGCATTTAACCTTCTGCACATTAAATGAATAAAAATTAATTTAATTTAAAAGTCTTCTATATTTTTTTGAAATAGAACAGAAGATTTATTATTTTTGACTCTGTGCTGCTGTAGACACTAAGAGGGTTTTTTTATCGTACCTGTTGCAGTTGGCCGGACAACCGGGGACAGAGTCCAACATGTCTGGGAATGGACCACCCGCAAAAAATTCCCTGAAGTTTTCGAATNTAAGAAATTTACCATATTTTTATATTCTTCGTAGATTTTCGGATACTCTTCTGGAATATCCATGTCAGGTTCGAAAACTGTAAGGAAAAAGAATGAGTGTTAAACATTTTCTATCCATTAACGGAAATTAACATGGGTTAATTAATATCCTCTATACAATTAATTAATATCTTCTATTAACTGCTCATTTCTCATCTACATTATCGATTACTCTATAACAGAATATTGTAAATGAATTCTAAACGGTTCCTTTAATATATTAACGATGAAAAAATGTTTAAAAACACTAAACTAAATGGTCGAAATTATTAAAATTACCTTAAAATGGTGACAAATGAAAAAAAAATGATATCGTCGTTAAGATTTTATTCCAACATGGGGTATAGTTGGATTGAATTGATGGGAAACAATGCAACGCATGGGCGATCTGCCAAGGATAGGTGCCTCCTGGGAGGAATTTCTATGGGAATTGACCTCTAATCAGGTGTTAGACACGTGAAAAAAGCTGAAAAATCGATAAGAATTGACCCCTATTTACGTATTAGGAACATGAAGAAAACCCGAAAAAGTCTATAGAAAATAGCTCTTATTCAGGTGTTATACACGTGAAAAAAGCTTGGAAAATCTATGAAAACTGACCCCTATTCAGATGTTAGATACGTAAAGAAAATGTGGAAAACTTCATGTTAGTCAGGTGCGAACCCACGACCACTCTTCAGTGATTTTATCCACCCAGCCACAGGTGGGTTGAAATATACTTCAGAGAAGATCGTTTTTACTTTTCTCCCTTCCATTTTAATTAATTTAAATAATCCTTGACGTATAATTACTACTTTAGATTAAAATATTTATAAAATTCCGATTGTTATTAACCATTACGTAACTGTGTAACAGAGGAATAAAGTTAAATGCACGTTAAACAGTAGACATTATTTTCTATTGGGAAGATTTCCATAAGTTACGTAACGTAGATATGAGAGAGTGGGCACGTAGGTAATCGTTACGATGCGTTACAACGGGATGGGGTGTTTACAAAAACGTTACTTACTTCTGAAACACGGGTAACAAAATGATTCACTTGTGTTTCTGGAGTGTTGTATAGCGAACCGTACTGTTTATATTACTCTTTGTACTGTAATTAGCAAAATAATGTAACGTTCGACACTCCGTGTTGTGTGTTACTCCTTCGCACATCTAAGATAATCGAGGAGATGCGTTACGTAATTTCGGAAGCTACGGAGCGTTGTATAAAGCATAAAAATAGCGTTACATAACTTATGAACGACTCCGAGTAAATTTTTGTTGAAATAACAATAAAAACGACCGTATATGGATTTATATAGGCCTATTAAGCTAAGCAATTCACAGCTTAGGGGGCCTCACATTAGGAGGGACCTCGTTCCATTCTAAAGACAGTTTATACATATTTCCCATTATTATTTGATAGAAGAGGAAAGGCTTCTCTCATGTTGTAACGCAGAAGTCTAAGAGATCCTGTTCAAGTTTTTAAGTTTTATAGCCAGTTACACTTAATAAATGCTCAAAATTCATTTTTTTAACAACAATTATAACAAATCATCACAACAAATATACTTTAATTGGAGTATAGTTTATAAAATTGCCAAATAGTAACTATAAACATCATTAATAATGAAGAATTTATAAGCCTATTATTACTAAATTTATACTTAAAATTCGAGTTATGGACATGAAAATTTAAAGAGGAATTAATCGATTTTCTGAAGTACAATTAAATCGATTTCCTCGGTAAATTTAACGATTTAAAAATTATTTGTGTTAATAATAATACATTGAAATCGTAGGAGACGATAATTTACATGATGAGAAATAAAGATTTTTTTTGAAATTTATGTTAATTATTTGCATAAAATGTACTCACCTACAGACTTTTCTTCAATAAAAGTCATTATTGGTGCATTCCAAACGGGTCCTTTAAGGAATCCAACTAAGGATTCGAATACCCAGTCATACTCTTCGTCAGACATATTTGATGCTAGTAGAAGCGACGATAGGAATGCTATGCTGTGCTTGATATTGTATACATCACCGGGTCGCTATAGTAACGAAACTATAACAAATTATCCGTAACACAAACACTACTCAGTCACGTGGAGTAGCAATGTACAGAATCTATTGTTTTGGAGACAATCGAAATTATATGATGAAAGTGTTTACAGAGCCAATAAAGGCATACTTTATACTAATAATAATAATAATTCAATATTGTTAATTAGTAATTTAAAAGCAAATTTATAATTAAATATATATTCTTATATTTAAAAAAAAGCTTGTATGTATGTACTGTACAGTACAAAAACAATTGTAAGAAAAAAGTCATAAAATAATTTTTATAATTTAAATTAGGGAAATTTTATAATAATTTCTATAAAAAAATTAACATTAAAATTAATTTATTCACAAGTTTTATTGAATTTATATTTATAAAAATAGAAAATAATACATGTTTATTATTGATTACACAATAAATATAGACTAGTGACTCTACATTGATTATTATTTTGTTTTTCATAGATACATTTTAAGCATGGAAGATATTTAAATAAATTATTTTTTTTAATTAACAATTTATTATTAAGTTTATAAAATATAAAACAAGATAATGATTAAAATAGAGGGTTTGAATCTAAATTAGTTTAGAATCCCATTAGTTTAATTGCTTGTGTAAAAGATCCTTTTCTAAGTACTAGGATTATAACTGAGATGAGGTCAATAAAGGCTTCCTGGTTATGAAATATGAATCTTCAAGACTGATCCTATAAACAGAATCTATTGTTTTAGAGACAAACTGTATGATGGAGACATTACAGATGTAATAAAGGCACTAAATACTGTTAATTAGGTACTAATTTAATCAGTTTAAAAATTGTAGACCTATAAATTCCCACTTCTGTCCTTCTTTAGAACGAAGTTAAATAGATAAAATTCGAGACAAGATATGGAAAGATAGGAGCAGGAGGCCCCTATTAATTAGATAGGAACTTCCGGTATGGACAGAAAGTTACGTACGTTATTTTAATTCAAAAAGGTGTTAGATAGATAACTGGCATGACTCTATTGCTAACAGGAAAAGTATGATATACAGGGGACTTTTAAAAGTATTAATTTGTTTTTAGTGTTATTAAACTGGAATAAAATTAGCAACATGATTTTCTAGAATCTTGGATAAATTCCATAAAATTAAAAAAAAGTAAAGCATCCAGTCAGCATTATAATAATAATAACAATGAATGCGATTTTTTAAAGTGGATAAAATAGCAAAAAAAATCAATAAATATGAATATAGAAATAGCAATGTTATAAAATAATTTTGAAAATACGAGGACAGATTTCTCTCTCGCATACAACGTTTAAAATAAAGACATAGGCCTACACAGTGTATGGTCTCGAATTATTGATATATGAGTGACATCACGTTACGTCTCAACATATTCGTGATACGACGTCACGTATAAGTTAAGGTGTAACGTGGTTAATGAATAATTTTGCTGTTATTTGCGTAACTCGATAACAGGTGTATCCAGAATGGTCATTCTGCGATAACAGTTGTTATAACATAAATACCCGATTCAAATAAATGTGTAGAAACTATACAAACAATCCAGCAGAGAATTGCATAACTTTCCCGGCAGAAGCATTTAAAATTGCGTGTGGTGCCATCTGTTACGAGATTTTATTACAATAAAACTACATTATTAATTACGAGTAAAATTTCCATTAATAGAACTGATATACTGATTTTTCTACATGGATTCAATTAAAGTGTTAGACAAGTAAAGAAAACCCGGAAAACTCCACATGGCCAGCCTTTTAGTGGGATACGAACGCGCGACCAAATACCAGTGTTTAGTGGTTTTATCCACTCAAGTGGGATCAGACAGATTTTTACCGTTATAATGTTTTTTTTTTTTTTTAAATAGAAGTTATTGGAGTAATAAAAAAATTTCACTCGAAAATTCTGCCGCAAGAGCGAAATTTGGCACTGTCGCTTTAGTGAAGTGCACGTTTTCTAACATATTTTGGGTGTAAAAAGAAATAACAAATTTCGTTGATATTTGCCCAATAGTTCTTTCAACAGAGAGCTAGGTACACTTACTCTAATTATGATCACCCTGTGTATGTAGAGGGTATCTCAAGGATCAAGTGAGGCTCGTGTTACATACAATACACGAAATATGCAAATAGAATGAATAATTTAATTTGTGTCCAAATGCTTTTAAAGTCCTCACAGGCTAAATAGCCCTCTTAACAGAACCTGTATATGTGTAATAAATACAGTGGAAGTGGTATTACGATCACTTTGTGACTTGCAACTTTTGATAACAATAACCGGCTGTATACTTAAAATACAACATTACACATTTATATATGCTACATTTCTTATAAACAACTGTTAACTCAATAGATCACGAAATTAAACTTTAGAAATTACAGCTGTATAATGAACACAAATGATAACAATAACCGAAGGTTGATTATAACAGGCGGATTATTTTTTAACTAATTTTATTTAATTTTGGGAATGATTGATTTTGATGATGATAATAGCCTAGTGATAACATTATAAGTGATTATAAAAACCGAATTCCACTGTATTTATAAACTGGCAATAATTTTTAAATACAGTAATAAAACAAAATCCAAACATTATAGCAACAGCATTATACATATTTTATTGAAAATAAAATATCTACAGCATTACCTCTCAGCATTAACATGAGTTATTTAATTATAATATCCTTATAAAAATGCTCTAGTATTTAACAGCCATTAATTACTATATTTAAAATCTATAAAAGCAAACAATTTATTTATTTTTTTTAAACATTTTTTCTCTAATGTGCAAATTGTACCTACCTCTTCATTTATCCATATATTTATTTTAAAAATAAATTAAACAAACATGATTTTATACACAAATTAGTGCTCATTCTGATTGTTTATAATCAATTTGAAATATGTTTTCCATACAATATCATAAAGAAATATGAGAAATTGATGTTTGTAATAAAAAAATTAAATCTGTGCGCTTATTACATATTACATTATACAAAGTATTTACATATCTAAAGGTTAAAATAAAATACACACCGTAAACTATGTGAGTCATTTCACTTTTTCTGTGTTTCTATTCTCCACAAACTCTTTTTCTTTGAAAAAATAAACCTTTTACAGTTTATATTACACACATTTGAAGCTTAAACAAGCTAATTTATGATACTAAATGATCTGTTATAGGTGAAAATATTACAAGAAAATTACAGTGTAAGTCTCAATGGTCAACATGAGAATTTGCATGAAGTTTGCTGGTATTATTTGTTCAACAGTTTGGTTTAAGCAATGCAGACAAGGTACTGACTTTTATTTAAATACATTCAGGTCCATTAAAAACCAACAAAAACATTTAAATCCGAAAACATTTTGCGGCAATAAAATGCCAACTTGAGGTATAATTTTCTTGCTCTATCCTTCCAAAACACTTTCAATGTTGTGATCATTTAAACCATTAAAAAAAACCATTAAACAATTGTCATTTTATAAATATATACAGTATAACATTAATTACATTTGAGTGATTGTTCATTCAAATATTGTTTTGAAGATGCCAAGTGACAAATTAAGAATTTATAGGGAAATTATGATAAAATTCATTCATTCATTCATCATATTTACACTTTATAATGTAATATTATTTAAATTTTTCTTAAAATTCCTAATGTTTGATGAAAGATTAATAATAAAAAAAAAAAAATTCCCAATACTCTTTCCTAAAATTGATATAATTTTATTCTATTTTCTTTGATCTAATTGCCACCATATTTTATAAATCTGAATCTAGTTTTTGATTACTTTTTAAATTAAATACTACAAGCTTAGTGAATATTATAAATTTTATATATTTTAAATGTTTAAATCAACAATCTATAAGGATTATGGGAATGTATCAAATGTGCTTGTATGCAAAATATGTAATCAAATGTCAAACATAGGTCATTTTTTTATATTCTAATTTTCGTGTATATATATTATTACAGTACACTATATAATTAATTTCTAAAGTGTTCCTATTATAGCATTTATTTTGATGACTATTTTATAGTAACTCTTTGCCTAGAAATTACTACCTCTATCGGGCATGGAATATAATTATGTATATATATATGTATGTTTTTATATACATTAAAAATAATTTTTAAAGTCAATAAGAAATTAAAAACATAGTTTTAAAGATGGCTGCATAAAGTTTTACTGATTGATAAAGTTATACAGGCAACAGTCTGTTTATTGATGATTCAATACGTTCCATGTGTTTTCAGTTCTTTGAGTTACACTACAATACAGTACCTTACTGAGAAAAGATGCAATTTAAATTTGAATCATATTTACAACTTTTTACCCTGTGGGCACTAGAAGAGCCTTTTTTTCCATATCAGTTGTGGTTTCAGCAAGAATCTTGGTAGGGATGGCCAGGTGGTGAGGATCAGAACCTGTCATATCTACTGCCCATGAAAAATTTCTGGGGAATCGGTTGACCGGATTCAATTCTGAGTCCTTTGGAGTGGTAGGCCAATGCCTTAATCGCCCGATCCATGTGACCGTCCTTACAAATGACACCTCTAAAACTTTATCAACCATTTGTACTTTTATGTAACCAGTCTTTAAATTACTACTCTTTCTAAACCGGCTTTTAACATAAAAATTAAATGTAAATCAGTTTTATGATCTTAATTTAAATCTTTTTAAAAGTTAAAAAATTGAAATTCTACAAAGTGAAAATTGTTTATTTTCATTGTAGGAATTAAATATTTAAATTATTTGTTATAAAGTTTATAAATTTAAAATTTGGCGACATTAATCTGATATTAAAACAAATTTTCTAACAGTTACTCTCAAATTATAATCCAGAAAATCTTTACTAATGATCCAAAGACAAATAAAATGCCATATTCTTTTATTTTTTAACAAAGTTACATGCCATTTTTATAAGAACTACATA